TGATGATAAGTTACTTTAGAATAAACGATACTCTCGCCAAAAACTTTAACTGAAATTCAAGTGGAAACAATCCGCAATTTACGACCAAAACAATAAAATTTACTCAGTGAGAAAAAATATCACTTTCTTTTTTAAAAAGGTAAGATGACTAAGTGGAACTCGATTTTATTTTATGTGGTCGTATCGTGGGCTCTCTCTAGAGTCGACTTCTGTTCGCAATGGGTTTCTGGAGTGTGGTAGATACTATTTGAAAGGAAAGGAACTGGCTCTTCATATGCCGTACTCCAGCATGCGATATCATGTGTCAGAATACAGATAGACTTCACAGATCATTTTTAATCGCTTTTGTTTTCTCTGAATGAAGGGACTTCTAAAGGGAATTTTGTGGGGGTATTTTAGATTAAATCACTTAGAAGTCCGTATAAACAAATATAACCCTGGAAAACGATACATGAATGCATTCATATACATTGATCATATTCACACTTGGTGGTTCGTTAACAATTATCACAGTGGTGACACGAAAATCTCAATCCACAAATTTCCCACTGCATTATTTCAAAGAACACTATCTAGAATCAATCGAGCGTCAAACACACGGTTGATACTTTGACGATGTTGGACATAGAAATGATCTGAAGTACAGAAAAGCAAAATATCTAGTAACCAATAGATTGTATATATGAATAACCCGGAAATAGTTGTGAATAGCAGTATAATTGTATTTCAGATACTGACCGGTGATTCCCAAGTGTTCAATAAAATCTCCGGTAATCGCGGAGAGACCAGCACTCAAGACGATCCGAATAAGGTATGTAGCAGCAGTAGAAAGCATAATCCCTACTGTTGTACACAAACGTATTAACACAAGACAGACAGTTCTGCGGTAAATTATACGGATAGGGGTTTTATAATTAGTCATAAATGGGTACGAGGAAACCAAATGAATTGAATCAATGTACCTAATAGTCATGTGGTTATTGTAAGCCATACTGGTATATAGTTGTATGGAATTGGCATGTATAGAACCCCCACCAGAACACAGTTCATTGAAGTCAAGATTATACTGCTGATAACCCAAAGTAGCACAGTTGTGAAGAACTCATGTTTCGAAAGAGTACCATAGAACGGTTATTTGTTTTCACTGCCGATGACAGACACTACAGCATGGGATGGGTATCAAATTGATAAAATATTCATCTAATTAGTAAGTTGGAAATGATAAAAGGTTGATATCAGAAATTGCTACTCTATGGATTGCTGATAAATGACCTAACTACTTAACGATTTATAAAATAGACTAACAAGATACCTTTCTTATAAAAATATTACAAACTTAATGTGACTCAATGTTAACTTAGACTAAACAGTATATATTCTAAAAACATACAAACAGTAATTTGAGAGGTTAGTGTAAACATCCACACTTCTCAAAACTTATGAATAACTTGAATTACTGACTCAATCGACATCTGCGAGTTTTGGAAACAGAGTGACCTACGACGAGGTACTTCAACTAAGCACTCCTTCTCCGTATTTCGTCACACGAAGATAACCCATTTAACTGAAGGGCATCGAACGATTAACAGCTTATATATACTACAAGCCTTACAACTGGAAGCTTTCTTATCATAATAATATTATCTATTTCATGTCTTATTTAATAGTTTACTCATTACAGTAACACTAATTAAATTTGATGTTGCATTTTTTAAAGAACCGGTAGTAGATAAGTACTAGGGAACCATTTTATCCGTCTGATCAGATAGATAGTTTGTTTAACCTTAGATATAGCAAGGTTGATTGTGAGCCTATTAGCCAGACATGAAAAGTAGACTGTATTTTAGCGAACACAAGTGAGCCGGTTAATGTCTCATTATATATTTTTATCTACGTATAAGTATATTGACAATCTTTTCGTTGACGTCTAAGATCTCATATTGTACTAACTATATATACTAAAATCAATAAAAATTATAAACGTATTTACTCATTAGTAATTTTATGGCTATAGTTATACCGCCTTATCAACTGTCTTAGTTCACTTGAAATAACTTCTTTGATTTAGTTTTCCACATATTGAGTTCTTTATGGTCGTTAACAAAGAAGGTCTGAATTACTTTTAATTGTTATTCCTTTGTTGGAATAAATGCTGAAAATTCCTATTTACCCAGAAACTATTAGAAAACGTCCCCACTGTAATTGTAATCTAATTTTAAGTAAAGACAGTTTAAACATTGTCCTATATGTACATAATTGTAACGATTCAGCTTATCAATTACTTAGTAAAAACTAGTATATTTCGGTTTAGATGATGTCCAAATGCTCATACATAACCAATTTCTTCTTGATTGATAAGCTGCGGCTTGCTGCATACGTCGTAAAGTAGAATGACAGAGTTAGTATAACCTACACAGAATGTCCTGACCGGTGTTGCTACCTGGATGTGGTGGTTGGACTTTCCTTTAGTGATGAACCAATCGCGCTATACTCGTGGAACAATCGTTCCTCAAAGTCCCAGAGTGCAAGAAAGGTCTGTTGAGGAGCGGTAAGAGTAAAAGCAACAAGCATTATTAGAGAGGATCCCCGTTAACAGTTGTCTATGTGCTGTTCATGTAAACGGCTTCGTAAAAACTTGTAAGGATAGGGACACACGTCGTTTCTGCCAACACTCACTGACTGCAGCCCAGATGAAGTGAAAGATAACTTCTACAGAAAACTCTTTGAACTTCTTTATAAAGCTAAACGCTCAGACATAGAACTTGTAGTATGTGACTTGAATGCCCAGATAGGTAGCTTAAACCAAACAGAAAGACATTTAGGTATTGCGGCTCAGCGAACAGATAATGATGATCATCTGCTGCAACTGTGCTCAGACAATCATTTATTTTTAGCAAACACAAATTTTAAACATAACGAGAGACATCGTCTAACATGGCGACTCCCTGCACCAAACCAACGATGGACTCAAATAGACCATATTGCCATCAGTCATCGTTGGAGATGGTCGATAGAAGATTGTCGCTCATTCTGGAATACCTTCTTGGACTCCGACCACGCGCCCTAATACGGGCACGCATCTGCTTGCACTTACTGGACGCAGAAAAGCCACAGTAAAAAGATCCATTAGAATTGAATTGAGTGACGAGAAAACCAAAAGTAGGTTCCAAGAAAAACTGATGTAACAATTAGGTAGTTCTGAAAATGAGGTTGACCCAGATGTTGCTTGGGATGATATAAAAACAGCTGTGGCATCTGTTAGTGATTCAAACCAAAGGGTTACAAAGAACCAGTGGATTTACTCTAAGTCTATTGCACTGATGGATTCTCGTAAACTCATCCCATCAGGCTCTGAACACGATGAAGAGCGAAAACGAATCAGATCTAGGTTAAGCAAAAGTCTAAGGAACAACCGTAAGCAACGAAAGCAAAAGAGATGGAAAAGGCAGAGGCTGTAGGTAACACCAGACAGCTCTTCAGACTAATAAAAGAAACTGGAATTAACAAGTCATGTGTAAGTGAGACGATCTCGAAAAAAGACAATCTTATCTACTTCCAGTCAAGACGTTTAGGACGACGGGCGGAATATTTTAAGGAGCAGTTCAGGTACTCTACAATTACCCACCATTCTCAAAACGTTGAAATGAGCCCTCCGATCTAGCTGAAGTTCAGAAAGCTATAGCTGATCTGAAACGGAGAAGAGTGAATAAAGTAAATAAACCTTGTGAAGGACCTTTACTCGAACACTACTAATCCAGTCACAGCTTATGGCGAACTGTCATCTACTTTTGCAACCTCAAGTGGTGTCCGTCAAGGCTGTCCACTTTCTCTATTTCTGTTTAACTTCATCATAGACCTGCTTATGAAAATAACATTTTCATCGACTGAATTCTCAGGTATTGATCTCCTACCAGGAGGTCCACTTATCGACTTAGAATACGCAGATGATGTAGTCCTGTTTGGTGAAGATGCTGACAAAATGCAGAGTCTTTTGGCAGCACTAAGCAACAATGCCAGAATGTTTGGAATGCGCTTCTTTCCCTCTAAATGCAAGTTGTTGCTTCAGGACTGGCCTGCGTCAACACCTGAACTAAAGATGGGGAGTGAAGTAGTCGAACGCGTCGACAACTTCACATACCTTGGAAGTCTGATCAGCCCTAATGGGCTGGTATCGGACGAAATCTCAGCACGGATTCGAAAAGCTCGTTTGGCTTTTGCCAACTTACGTCACCTATAGCGAAGGCGAGATATCCGTCTATCAATAAAAGGACGAGTATACTGCGCGGCAGTTCGTTCTGTTTTGCTTTGTGGCTGCGAAACGTGGCTATTAAGAGATGAAGATACTAGTAAGCTACTAGTATTTGACCACAAATGCCTTGGAAATATTGCTCGCATCTGCTGGGATCACCAAGTAAGTAATAGTGAGGTTAGACGTAGGGTATTCGGGAACGATGGTAAATCAGTTGATAAGGTTGTGAATCTTCATCGACTGAGATGGTTGGGCCACGTGTTGCGTATGTCTGAACACCGATTACCACGATGTGCAATGCTAACTGGTGTTGGGGATGGTTGGGAGAAAGTTAGGGGCAGCTAAGCCAAAAACGTGGCATCAGTGCTTGAAGACACTAACCTCTAGTCTGAACCATGTTGGTAGAGGCAGATCACTTGGTTGGGGTCCGCGTGACTTTCGTAACCAATGGTTGGAGACTCTAGATGACATGGCTCAGAATCGATCACAATGGCGTCGGTGTATACACTCTCTGTCTTCCCTTAAACTAGAGATTAAAATCGCTTCATATCTTTTTTTCTACGACCTAATTCTTTCTTCCTGTACTACATGCAATATTTCTTTTATATATTACCACCACTGAATTAACTACTTCTATGAATCCGGCGTTCATCTTGTTGTGCTAATGAGGTGTGGCAACTTGGACCAATGTACATATGTGCCTGGTCCTACGTTGTAGCTGACTGACTGACATAGAATATATCGAACACGATTGATAATACGCAAACTCTGGTTCATTGAGAAAATTTTTAAAATAATCGTGAGATTCATTTAAAGTCCATATCATAAATTATTTACAGTATACTGTGCCGTATTACGTGACCAAATCGCCCCTGAACCAATTTGGATAAGATTGTAAAAAGATAGATCATCATTAGCGTCGTTTTTCTGATAGTTTATAGGGATCGGGGAAGCTGGAAATAAGAAATAAAATTAAGCAATTAGCATAGATAAAGAAAGCAAAATTTTAAACAGTATTTTCAAAACAAAATAAGTCTTTCAAGTGATTTCTATTAATGACCGGTATCTCAGATAACACTTCGTTTTACAAAAGTGGTTTTAGTCTCAGAACAAACTACACGGAAACAAGTAAGTATTAGTGTATGGATAATTCCGCTGTGATGTGTGACAACTGGGATCAATATACACATTCAACTCATAACTTACTGATTGGATACAATAGAGGGTTGGGAACCAACACATAATGTAACTTACTGGGAATTTCTGAAATTAAGAAAGTGACTGAAAACTTGGTAACGGTTTAATAAGCGTTAACAACCAGGGAGGGTTAGGCAGATTTACGCCGGACTTTCGAGTTCCAGAAAGATCCTCATCCAGAACCGCTCTCGAATTCCGACGCAGATGTAATTTCGCAGAGCTACGTGAAATAACCGAAAATACTTTGACCTCCAGTTATATACTTATATACTTCACAGTATAAAAACTAACGAGAATGTTATGAGTGGGTAGTGATGATCAGTTCATGTATTACGATCGTAATTATTTTACGAGAAAAATAACTAATTAGTATGATAAGAAAATGTGTACGCCACACTAACACCGATTTTAAGTTCTCTATATGTCGAGAGAGTATGAACTACGTAAGAAAAATTACTAACAAATCAGTATCTGTTAAGAAATTTGACTTCGAGAGGGTTGAAAATGTCATCAGTAAGACAAATATATAGTCTACTTGTATCACGGAGTTGAATGTGTACACAAAACGATTGATAATTTAAGGAGACAGTTATAGAAGATGAAAATGGATAATAATTGTGTCACATCGAGAATTGACAGAAATTAAAAATGAATTCCTATCCAGACAAAACAATGGTCTAGTTGCTCATGAGTTTTTAGTTGATGATCGTCCGTAATAAAATAACCTTCACAATATCCCGGTTACGTGCTGACTACTAATAACCATCTATCTATAAGGTTTCCGACTGATAACCAGCAGAAAACAGTGCTTAATGCTTGTCACTTTCAATTATCAAACCTTAGAGTCCACTGCACTAGCTCAGATGAATTCGCATTTCAACATCCTTTAAATCCGTACACTATTTGATTTTATCGTCTTCTAATCCTTTTACTATGATTGGTATCAATGTACACATTGCTTTATCCTTAGTCTAGCTGATGGTCCTTTGGTATGCCAATGTAATGTGCTGTGATTTTGATCGGAACATACTTGTTTTACTTGGTAATAAGTTACTGATTAATCGGCTACCTAGTAGGAAGTAGGACTTTATCGGCGATAACAAGGAGTATAGATATAGGTAATGACAAGGGAGGATAATCAAATTAAAGCACAATTTCATTAAACTCGATAATCGATATCCATTGCATATAGACCTGGTGACTTAAGACATTAGCTTCGAAACTTGAAGGTCGAGTATATATACTTCTGAAGAGTTACAATATATCACCCTGGAATCATCTATACCCCTATAATTTTCAATGATTTTTTAATTAATATTTGGTCATCAAAGATCATAAATTTTAAGTAATGAGTTTTCAAAAATATAATCGGTTTAAGTTAAACAATAAGGCTTGTGAATAAAATATGATCATTTTGTAGCCTCACATCTAATCTTATCCTCCTCAACGGGATTTATATTTCCTGATGAATTTGACTCTTTGGTTTCTATAATCGTTAATTCATTTTCTCCAGAAAAATAGGGTCTACCAAGAGTTTCTACCTTTTGGTTTTTACGGCGGCTAGCAACAGATGGCTGCCTAACAGCAGTGTTCTCTGGTGGTTGGGTTGAGTCGATTTCCGGACAATATATACCCAAAAGACGAGTGACATCACGCTGCAAATTAAATGTTACCAAACAGACAAATCAATAGGTGTGTGTATGAAAATATTATTGGAAAGTTATAGTTACAGAGGATTTAAAAGTCACAACTAGTCCCTTTGTTAAATTTGGATAATGCAATAAGACGAAGTTTATTAGCACTCTATGACATAGTGACGAAGTAAGTTTCGGACACCCTGATCATACATTAACTTGTCAAGACATTAATATGTGAAACCGGTTGCGTAAGTATTTTATGATTTACCTGGATTGATTGATAACTTAATTGTTATTCATTGAAATTAAGACAATTTGTCCCTTAGATGTAAATTTTCAGACAACGAGCAATTCACTTATAAGGGCGAGTACTTTGACAAGTTGATGGCATAGCTATAAGTTAACATTCAAGACTATAGTTAGCTGGTGTGTTTATGGCACATATAGAAAAACCAATTACAGACTCAATTAAAAAGATGCCTTTATAAGTGTTAAGTGGATGAGATCAGACCTAAGTGTAAACATGTGAACCACTTTTTAAAGAAATCTAATGTATACCAAAAGCATATTAATCTTTTATGTGGGACGGAAATGAATAATCCGCTTCTCTTCTTAAATATACACTAATTGATGGACAATGATTATATCATTCTATTTGTAAATAACCAACATGGACACGGTAATATGTTATTTACTGTCCAGTACACTACAAACTAGGGCCATATTAGAATGTTTATCCAATAGGACGAATTGTATCCGAAGAAGAGCTTTTAACTCAAACATAGATGCAAAGTGGACATTTATTTAAGTTCATAAATCGAAGCCAATGTGGAATGTGATGAGACCTTTTACGTTTCCGACACACAGAAAACATGTTTATATCACCCTACTATTCAGAGGTGATGTAAATGGTTGAGGAGACATAAATTGGCGATCAGTAGGATATTTCAGACAACCAAACTCATTATTCCTAAGAAGTTTAAGTCTAACTAAAAGTACAGAGTCTAGAAACGACTACGTCACATTCCAATGTGTCTATCAATTTGAATATGTGGACATATAAATAGGGAGAAACAATCGTGATGAGTATGTAAAGGTGGCTTAAAATATACCTAAGTGGCTACATAAGCAGATGAATTCTAGTGGTGAGTTAAGAGTACAGAATAGACAAATATCGTACTACATTATGAAACACTTGGTTCATTTGGGTCACGGAGTTAACATCAAATCAGCCACTTCCAGAGTTGCTCAGGGGCACATCCCAATATTTATTGAACCCTTTGGTTATACAAAAATTAAAACCCACTTATTTTGTAAAAAACAATTTGTTCTAATACTGAATCTAGCCAGGTATGATGTGGTTTATACTGTTTTCTCCATCTCCTATTTATCTACTTGTTTAGTTGACCTCTATTTTTCATACATAAATATATACATACACAAATATATCTATGATCAGACTTTTCGAAATGTGTTGCGCTAAAATATCATAAAGATATGATAAGCTTTTTTCCCCCACTCTATTATTTAAAAAACCAACAGTCTGATTCTAGAGGAACTGGTTTACAAAAAGGGGTGAAAACATAAAACGATGGGATAATCAAGGATGACATTTGAAACGGGTAGTTAACATTTGTCAACAAACTCTTCTTAAAAGGTAGTATCAAAATGGATATTACTAACACTAACAGTTAAAACCCCATAGTTTACAATATTAACATAATATTAAAAGTAGGGAGTGAACTGAGCACATAAATACAATTATTTCCTGTTGTAAACACAAGTGTACCAAATTGCAAATTTTGACCGAAAACCTCAATTTTAAGTTTTTTCATATGAATTAGTAACTAGATAAAATTACTCTAATGAGCATTTACAATCAACAACTATTGCTTTCTTAGTAGATCTTATACAGTTTGGGTCACTGTAAATCAATTTTGTTTATTGATTCCGTAACGCTTTTCATAAGAATTTATCTATGTCAACTAATGATGTATTATTGTACGGCATTTGTTGAGTATATTCAACAAGAAAATGACTGTTTACACTATTACAGGTTAACAAGGATTATTATCACGTTTTATGGTTAAAACTAACAGACTACTTCAAAAGTAGTTGTGGGTAGCATTGGTTAAAGTTGTTAATTTAATGATAAGTCGTTTTGCACTAGGGAAAAGACTATGCCCGTAGAGAATAATTGAGGAAATAGTGCGTACTTATAGTTAAAAAAAAGGAAGATGAGTCTATCCTTTATCATATTCCATTGATTGAATGGTTAAAACGCCCTACAAACAATTTGAATCATTAGTGACGGTGTGATGTTGTAGTGAACCAATCTAACTAATTTATTATTTGTCTACTCGCTGTAATTTAGATATTTAATCCACTATGTAAAATTATGTATGAGTTCGACTGAGCGCATATCTGCACATCAATATTTAATCTATCCTCCCATTGGTTGTAACACACAGACAATCAATAATTTATTCACAGTCGGTTAACGCTCATAAATATACATGTGCTTGCTTTCTTCGCACTTGCGGATCTTTACTAATCATTAACGATAAACTATCTCGGCAACTGGTGTCCCGGCTTTTGTATAATCTCGAGTAAATCCATGATTCTACTAGGAGATTTAGTTTGAGTAAACACTCAGTTAACGGGATACTATTTATTGGAATCAAATATAGAGGAATTAACCTCGACAATGTACACTATTTATGCGGACAGACAAATAGTGTGTAGCAGGAATTGAAAGTAGAATGCTTACCAATAGGAGAGTGAAATGAAAAGAGAAAGGAAAACGAAGGGCAACAGAATCGGAAAAATGATTAATTATGCAAAAGACAAATGAAGGGAGATATGTAAATGATGTAATTAATGTATAATTTCTTTATTTTACAAAGCTACTATTTGATTTTGCGTAAAACAATAAAATGATTTACCATACCTTAGTATTCCTTCACCACAACAGTATTCAAAGGACTTCTAATTTAAATACTATAACCCATGAAGGCTACACTGTCCAGTGATTAATGATATATGTACACTTCTTATTTTAAAAAATAATGGTGTGAAGCCCATAGACAATCACTCGCATTCCCTGAGGCTTAAAATATATGTCGATACGAGTAAGGTTGGTTGCTATGATAATTTTGATGAAGAATAGACATTTCCATGACGGATCAATATTCTGCCACAAAAATAGATTCACATGCTCTTACCTCTGAAAGCGATTTTTCAGATACTCGACCGATTCGACTCAGTGTTTCTGGTTTCATAATCTCACTTGAATGCTCGCTGAGCAGATGTCGCCATGCGAGACTTGAAGCATTAAAACCAACGCAGACTGTGCTGGACTCCGATCGACACCACGGACACACATAAAGTGGTAGACCCGGATGCCTACCAGAGTCTAGAACATGTTTTTTTAAAGCATCTAGTTCGCTAGTACGGTGAGGACAATGAGGGCATAAGTATGGCCTGGCCCCAGCGTGTATACGAGCATGACGACGAAGATTAGAAGATGTGGTAGCGCTGTATTCACAATAATCACAAGAAAAACGACGACCTGTAAGAATACAGTAAAAATCAGATAGTGAGCTTTGTAAATAAAGTTCCAATTAAACCTACAATGTAATATGATGTCTCTTATAAGGAACATGAAAAATTGGTAATAATAATAATAATAATAATAATAATAATAATAATAATAATAATAATAATAATAAACACGAAAATACTGATAAGGGACATGTGAAATACGATGTTCACACCTTGACCGTGAATAATTTTGTGTTGTGCAAGTCGACCGACTGTACGGGCTTGGTACGAACATCCTTGTACTGGACAGGAATATGGTCTATCAGACGTATGTGTTGTCATGTGAGCTATAAGATGCGAGTTTGATAAGAATGCTCTACCACAACCTGGAGTTAAAAGGAATGAAGATAAATATGTATTTAGTCTGAAACTTTATGGTACGCAAAACAATATGAATATAAATCTACACTTTTAACAATAAATAATTCACTTACAGTGAACAAGTCTACGTACTCGGCTTTCAGCAACACTATGACGGCTGGTGATAATAACTAACTGGTCAAAACAAAGTAGATGAAACGATGTTCGGACCTGCAACTTCATAGTTAGAAACCAAGCTCTTCAGCCCCACTCCAATAAGTACAAATAAAGGAGTGACTTAAGGTGTTCCCTAGTCTAAGAAATCCTTATATAAAGTACCAAGACGGTCGGAAGGTGAGGTTTTTGAACACATCGTTTTAATCTACACACCTACGATACTAGAGTAGTACTGAACACACAAGTAAAACCCGTAACCTCAATAACATATTAATTCTCAATAACATTCTAGATATATATCTAGGCACTATTTAAACTACATGAGGAATATTTTTTAGTGAGGGATACTAACAGGGAGTAATTTCAAAGTTCCACAAACATTACAGCTTATTTAAGAAGAAATTTCTTGGTTTGCTAACACCTGGTAGGTTCCATTTTTAAAGACTGTGTCAGTACTTATCAGCTTTTTGCATGTAGTGGTGCAAGGTTTGTTGTAGTATGAGTTCCTAACATTACATTCGTACTGATGTCACACACATTTTCCATGCGACGCTACTTCTTAACATACAGGTGATGACATTAACCAAGTAAATACGTGCTGTAGTTTTGATAAATAAGAGAGCGATTCCTTTTCTTTATTTTCACTAAGATGCTGCAGTTTACGCAACTAAATATTCAACAGGTGTACAATAGTTGAAAAGATTGAAACTCTTGGAGCAAAGAGAATAAACAACTCGTCGAATGGTAGTGGAGATAAGAAACTGAACAAAGTTTTAAACAAAAATCTAAAGTATTGAGATGAATAGTAAATACAACTGCTGAGAACAAGGTACTCAGTAGATATTTTAGAGCCAACATTTATTATAAGGAAAACAAATCACAAAAGCTGTTATTTACTATAAAGCATACATTAACACACAGGAACAAGCTAAATTGTTATATTTAGATTTCTATCTATTTACTGAATGGTAACATCGTAAATAGATAAGATGACCAAACATACATGAAGTACCAACTAGCCACAATAGATAGGGTTGTTCAAACACATAAAAGTGGCAGTCTAAAAACTATAATAATTAAAAATGTACACATTGAAGTTTAATTATGAATTCATGATTGACAATACAGACAGGGTGGACTATCCTACAATAGTTATCTACAGAGTCGATAGAAATAGCTAACTAAGTAGGATTTACAGTTAAGTAAAGTATCTTGAGTTTTTTTAAGCTTTAAGATAACTCCAGCTGAAGTTAAAGGATGACTAAATTTGCTGTGTTTGAAAAGTGACAACAATGCCACCTAGACCAGTGAACAGGACGAAAGTCAGAGACACAACAACCGGACAAGCTTAACTATTCACTGCGTTCCACCCCTGTTAACTCGATGGGAGACCACAATCAGACGATGTTAATGTATATACTATAAGAAGCCCGGAAACATGAACGAACAAGAACACAACTCAAACGTATAGATACAGTATAAAAATGTCCTTGGAAAATGTAAGAGGGAAGTAATCTATTGGATTTAGGAGAGAAATGAATCTCAAGCATTCTTGAAATATTGTTTAAGAAATTAAGAGCGAAGAATTTAATATTCTTCACTGTTAACAGTCATGCATTACCACTGTGAAGTACCACAAACAGATATTCGGTATAAAAACAAGGTGGATAGGTATAAGATAAAGTAGTCCTTTATTTCTGCGTTGGAATTTTATTGAGCGTTCATCCATTAAGCTGGATACAAATATTTAAAAAAAAATGATGTACTCATTCTGCGACTTCATTTTCTGTTAATGAAATAAAAATAAGTCAATACGAGTCGTGAAGCATCTAAAGTATGCGGAGTCCATTTTGAACACATTCGAAATCTTGTTTATACATTTTAAAAACCACTTACCATATACGCGAATTCACTAAACAGTCCAATGTCTGTCAAATACTTAATCCCTGAGGACAAAACATATGCCTACAATGATCGGATAGAATGCCTTACTTCACAATATTTGAGTTGCAAGTTATCCAACTATTTCATAGACCCATAAAACTACAGATGAATACCACTATGAACATTCAAAACAATATACACTTTGAAAACAGTATAGTTCACTTCATTTGCTGATTACTCAACTAATTATTTGCGTGCAAAACAGACGTTGTTATATAGCCTTTGTGAGACAAACAATAAGAACCACACTAAAACGTATTGACGCAAACTCACTTTTTTCTTTACACAGAAATGTACGTTGTGAATGAGTGTAATAGATGTGACGGGTGTACTGAATATCAGTCCTAAATTTCTTTCGACATACCTCACAGCAGAATCTTGGCTCCGAATTACGATTAGAACAGACTAAAAGGGAAAATTATAGTAAAATAATCACAGAACAACATACCCATCAATAAATCACTTTCTAAACTTTTTATGATGGGTAGATTGACAATGAAATTTAGTCTTTTCTTCTAACTACTTTCCGACATTTTATGTTGCAGACTGCTTTAACCCGTGTAATTACGAAAACTAATTGAAAATTACAAAACTAAAACTTATCGAGTCCTATACACGTGCAGGGAAAAATGTAACCAAAAACAGCACCATTCATACGGTAAAATTCAGTGACACGTTCACATTTGTGTGAACGAAATAACAACTTACAAGTCTAACACTGCTATTACCAATACGTTTTCAGTTTTATATTTACGGAGAGTAATCTTTGGAGTTAAACATAATTTAACTCCGCCTGGAGTCCCTCCGGGGGCTACTGCCGGTGCCAAGCCCGGATAGAGGAGGGTTGGGCATGGAGTCAGCGGCCCCATCCCGTAGAAAAATAACTCGCTAAAAAACGCTAACCAGAAAAAATTATTCAAACCTTCTAAACTCTGCCCTGGGAGTCAGGTCTTTTTTTTAGGAGAACTATGACGCCTCATAATGAAAGTCGAGTTCCTTCGGAAGCCACGTGGCCGATGCCCCGTCTGACAACCAGAGCAACCATTTATTTAGGTACATGGAATGTTCGTACAATGTGGGACACCGGAAGAGCATTCCAAATTGCTGCAGAAATGAGAAGATACAAACTAGAGGTACTTGGGATCAGTGAAACACATTGGATGCAAGTTGGACAACAATCACTAACTTCAGGAGAGCTCCTGTTATACTCCGGCCATGAAGAAGAAAATGCCCCACATACACAAGGAGTTGCATTGATGCTGTCTAAATAAGCGCAAAATGCGCTTATCGGATGGGAATCTCATGGACCAAGGATCATCAAAGCCTCGTTTAAAACAAAGAAAGAGGGCATTTCAATGAACATCATCCAATGCTATGCGCCTACCAACGACTACAATGAAGACGCTAAAGGTTGCAGTCAATCATCGAGAAGTGCCCAACAAAGGACCTGACCATTCTGATGGGAGATTTCAATGCCAAGGTTGGAACGGACAACACTGGATATGAAGACATCATGGAACGACACGGACTGGGAGAAAGGAACGAAAATGGTGAGAGATTTGCAAATCTATGTGCCTTCAATAAACTGGTCATAGGCGGCACCATATTCCCACATAAACGCATACACAAAACCACATGGACTTCACCGGATCACACCACGCAAAACCAAATCGACCATATTTGCATCAACGAAACGTTCAGGAGGACTATAGAGGACGTGAGAACCAAGAGAGGAGCTGATATAGCATCAGATCATCACTTGCTGGTCGCCAAGATGAAATTGAAACTCAAGAAGCACTGGACAATGGGGCGGACAATATCACAAAAGTTCGATACGGCCTTTCTTCAGGATACTAACAAACTCAACAAATTCAAGATAGTCTTCAGCAACAAGTTCCAGGCCTTTCATGATCTACTCAATGGAGAAGGAACTACTGTGGAGAGCAACTGGAAGGGGATCAAAGAGGCAATCACTTCAACATGTCATAAGGTCCTGGGTCACAAGGAGCATCATCACAAGGAATGGATCACTGTTGATACACTGGATAAGATTCAAGAAAGGAGGAACAAGAAGGCATCAATTAATACCAGCCGAACAAGAGCAGAAAAAGCCAAGGCACAAGCTGAATACACAGAAGTAAACAAACCAGTGAAGAGGAGCATCAGAACCGACAAACGTAAATATGTGGAAGATTTAGCAACGACGGCGGAAAAGGCTGCAAGAGAAGGAAACATGAGACAATTGTATGACACGACAAAGAAACTCTCTGGAAATCGCCGCAAACCAGAACGACCAGTGAAAAGCAAGGAAGGCAAGGTAATCACCAACATTGAAGAGCAACAAAACAGGTGGGTAGAACACTTCAAAGAACTCTTGAATCGACCAGCTCCATTGAACCCACCCAACATCAAAGTAGAACCCACGAACCTCCCAATCAATGTTGGCCCACCAACAATTGAAGAAATCAGCATGGCCACCAGACAAATCAAGAGTGGCAAAGCAGCAGGACCGGACAACATCCCAGCAGAGGCACTAAAAGCAGACGTAGCGGCAACTGCAAGGATACTCCACATTCTCTTCAATAAGATTTGGGATGATGAACAAATACCAACAGACTGGAAAGAATGACTTCTGATCAAAATACCGAAGAAAGGCGATCTCAGCAAGTGTGATAACTACAGCGGCATCACTCTTCTCTCAATACCGGGAAAAGTCTTCAACAGGGTATTGTTAAACAGGATGAAGGACCGCGTAGACGCCCAACTTCGTGATCAACAGGCAGGATTCCGTAAGGACAGATCGTGTACAGACCAAATCGCAACTCTACGGATCATTGTGGAACAATCAATTGAATGGAATTCATCATTCTACATCAACTTCATTGACTACGAGAAAGCATTTGATAGCGTGGACAGGACAACACTATGGAAGCTTCTTCGACACTACGGCGTACCTCAGAAGATAGTCAATATCATACGGAATTCTTATGATAGATTAAAATGCAAAATCGTGCATGGAGGACAACTGACAAAGTCGTTCCAGGTGAACACCGGTGTCAGGCAAGGTTGCTTACTCTCACCCTTTCTCTTTCTCCTGGTGATCGACTGGATCATGAATACATCAACATCTGAAGGGAAGCACGGCATACAATGGGCATCTAGGATGCAGTTGGACGATCTACACTTCGCAGATGATCTGGCCTTTCTATCCCAAACGCAACAATAAATGCAGGAGAAGACGAACAGTGTGGCAGCAGTAGGTCTCAATATACACAAAGGGAAAAGCAGGATTCTTCGATAGTACACAGAATGCACCAATCCAATCACAATTGACGGAGAAGATTTGGAAGATGTAAAAACCTTTACATATTTGGGCAGCATCATTGATGAACAGGGTGGATCTGATGCAGATGTGAAGGCGCGAATCAGCAAAGCAAGAGCAGCATATTTACAACTGAAGAACATCTGGAACTCAAAGCAACTGTCAACCAACACCAAGGTCAGGATTTTCAATACAAATGTCAAGACAGTTCTACTGTATGGGGCAGAAACCTGGAGAACTACAAAAGCCATCATCCAGAAAATACAGGTGTTTATTAACAGTTGTCTACGCAAAATACTTCAAATCCATTGGCCGGACACTATTAGCAAGAACGTACTGTGGGAGAGAACAAACCAGATCCCAGTGGAGGAAGAAATCAGGAAGAAGCGCTGGAAGTGGATAGGACACACATTGAGGAAAGCACCCAACTGCGTCACAAGACAAGCCCCCACATGGAATCCTGAAGGTCAAAGGAAAAGAGGAAGACCAAAGAACACATTACGCCGAGAAATGGAAATAGACATGAAAAAATGAACAAGAATTGGATGGAACTAGAAAACAAGGCCCAGGACAGAGTAGGTTGGAGAATGCTGGTCGGCGGCATATGCTCCATTGGGAGTAACAGGCGTAAGTAAGTAAATTCCAAGTGCGTGGTATGGTGGTGTTTACCGAAAAATTCACATTACGTTGAGAAATAACCCGTAAAAATAGCGCAAGTTGTTCTTTTAGAACTGGCCATCGTCAACGCCTGAACTAAAGATGGGGAGTGAAGTAGTCGAACGCGTCGACAACTTCACATACCTTGGAAGTCTGATCAGCCCTAATGGGCTGGTATCGGACGAAATCTCAGCACGGATTCGAAAAGCTCGTTTGGCTTTTGCCAACTTACGTCACCTATAGCGAAGGCGAGATATCCGTCTATCAATAAAAGGACGAGTATACTGCGCGGCAGTTCGTTCTGTTTTGCTTTGTGGCTGCGAAACGTGGCTATTAAGAGATGAAGATACTAGTAAGCTACTAGTATTTGACCACAAATGCCTTGGAAATATTGCTCGCATCTGCTGGGATCACCAAGTAAGTAATAGTGAGGTTAGACGTAGGGTATTCGGGAACGATGGTAAATCAGTTGATAAGGTTGTGAATCTTCATCGACTGAGATGGTTGGGCCACGTGTTGCGTATGTCTGAACACCGATTACCACGATGTGCAATGCTAACTGGTGTTGGGGATGGTTGGGAGAAAGTTAGGGGCAGCTAAGCCAAAAACGTGGCATCAGTGCTTGAAGACACTAACCTCTAGTCTGAACCATGTTGGTAGAGGCAGATCACTTGGTTGGGGTCCGCGTGACTTTCGTAACCAATGGTTGGAGACTCTAGATGACATGGCTCAGAATCGATCACAATGGCGTCGGTGTATACACTCTCTGTCTTCCCTTAAACTAGAGATTAAAATCGCTTCATATCTTTTTTTCTACGACCTAATTCTTTCTTCCTGTACTACATGCAATATTTCTTTTATATATTACCACCACTGAATTAACTACTTCTATGAATCCGGCGTTCATCTTGTTGTGCTAATGAGGTGTGGCAACTTGGACCAATGTACATATGTGCCTGGCCTTAGGTTGTAGGTGACTGAGGTAAGTATAATACTTGAATTTAATTCCTAACCCTAGCGTTCATCTGAAAGTTATAATGCTGTTTCCTCGCATTTATTTATAGTCCTTATTTATTCCTAATATTAGGTGGATATTCGTAAGGTCACCGCAGCGTCGCTCAAATCTCGGCACACAGATAGTCTCTGGAATTTCGTTTGTAACTGCATCAGTAGCTGATGGATCCTCCCAGAACACTCGGTATTAACACCTAATTTGACTCTCAAAGAAATTTCGTATCTCTACGATTAAATATCCATGATTAACAGAGATAACATGGACCTTTATTTTCATCACCAAAAGATGACAGCTGCTACGTTGGGTTTGACAACACTTAAGTGCTTAGGTTATTTTTATACCTAATGGTTTCGAGTGCATTTAGTAAGTCTTCTCGATTTGAAGCTTAAGGGAACTTATTAGAAATGATTAAAGCTGAGATAAATGGAAACAAGATTATAGAATTTTTAATTATCAATCATTACCACACACCTTCAGTATGATGCTTCAGTGTAAGGTGGGACTTAAATGACTTTGAACATCGCTGGCATATTGGTCTATCTGTTTGATCTTCAAATTCATAACTGATCGGATGAACCATATGCTTTCCAAGGTGATGAGCATATGTAACTTAAAACATCCAGTCGTCAAAGGATCTGGAAAAAATACCATCGGACGATTAAACTGATGACTTATTAGGCACATAGTCTGTAGCAAAGCTTGACAACCCAGGAGGCTCAAAACGCCTAACAGTGTGTAACGTTTAATACGAAAACGCGCCTTCAGCAATTGCAGACTGTCGATTGCATTTTCCTTATTTCTAGTGTCCAATATCTTTGTGATGAGCCAAAGCAGGCCAAATGACTTCTTTATGATTGCATCTCGGCGTTACGTTACCATTTCAAGTTTATTGAGTACTAGCAAAGTTTAGCTTTGTGCGTCGTGGCTTCTAGAATCGATAGTAAATCAAAGCAATGAAAAATACTGACACAGACTTTCTTTACATTCAAACGATGCTAATTTACTGGTTTCATTAACTCCTAGTCACCTTAGTCACGGTTCACTAGTATCAAGACGTCATTGAGCACTTACTGTCTGCTAATTTTAGTTTTGATATTAAAATAGACTTCGTTACATGGTCCTTCCTCTAAGGACGTCTTGTACTTCGGGATACTATTATTAAAGAATTATTGGTTTTTCTTTTTTAGCAAGTGCTGCTACTTGATGTTTTCATACGGTTTGGACAACCATCATAACTCGGGTCTTTAAAATGCGTACAACTAACAAATCACCCTTAAAATGAACATCTTTGTGGTAATACTCCTAACAGCTGAATATCATTGCTATAAATCAGAAAATGATTGGAAATTCCCTCAATGTGCGGTTACGTCTCGTTTATTACTTTTATGTTCAGTGATGTACGTAGGGGATATTTCATGTGATCAGGCGAACTGAGAGAGCAAATTTGCAAACTGAGTAGATGCGAACAGATGTAACATCCTAATCAGTGAGTAATGGATGATTTAGACTATATAAGGCGAATAACGTATGAATGACAGATAACGAATTCGAGCATACTTGAGTGACACACAAGAGGCCAGCGCAGCTGAACAACATCCAAAACTAACAGTCAATAACTAACAAGAGCACATGTGAGAAAATATAGTTACGTGTTCAACAACATTAGCCGACGTATGCTTCCATAATGTTACCACGCTTAATATTTCTGAATGTCATCAGCATGTTCTAGCTTTATTACTGACCCCGAAAACTTCAGGCTCAAAATCCTACATAAAGACGTTCAATCAATGATTATTATTCTTGTGGAAATAAACGATTTAAAACTTACCACTTATGTTCAGTTCAGGTTGGTTTGTAGTAGTAAATAAATCCTTAAAATAAATGGTTTTGTAACTTTACGACATGGATGCTAACCACATTACTTTTACTGGACACATCCTAGCTAAAGGCTCTCGGTCACTCATCCTCGTCACATAACGAAAGGGTACACCGCTCTATGCATCCCTTGTGACAAATCATGTGGAATTGGAAACATGTGATATAAGGCCGGTCATAGTAGCACATCGAATGTGTATTGAACACTGAAATATTTTTCCACTGGGCAACAGAATGAATAATGACATTTTGGATTCACTGGCTACGATAGAGCACAAGAAATCCTCAGCAATTTAAATATATTATTAGGAGCTTTCTTCAACGATATATGTTTAGTTGAATATGGAATTTTCAGAACAAAGTATTTCAACAAGTTTCTTCCACAAAACGAAAGTCAAAAACCGATGCATTTATAAGTTGATTAGATTCATAGGCTACTTGGGATTGACTAAAATGTCTTTTATACGATTTGAATCCATACAACTATGATTTCAGGAACGTGTTTAAAAATACGAGCTATTAACTCGATCAGCTCTTAAAACCTGTTCGTCACTTCTGAGACTGCGCCGCAGCAGCAGATGAATTTTAAGCAGCAGTTACTTGTCTTTTTGTTGAGACCACATACTGACCAGCAACAATATAATCTACTAAAAGATGAAATGCAAACTGGATGCTTGGCTCGGAAGCATTCACACATGTAATAGAAGGGAGTGTTTTTTCGGTATATATTACTAGTAAAGCCACTTGTAAATCACTAGTGGCCAAAGAAAATGGCTGTCGTGTATTTGAAATGCGAAAATTAGAATTAACGGCTCGATTTCACTCTAGTATATGTTGCATTGGTAGCATAAATGAATTTGCTGACTTGCAGTCGTGGATATGGGTTGGTGACCTCACCTGACCTAGTTTTGACTACAAATGGTTATCTGAGCTACAAAAAACGGACAGGAAATTGAGATCATTGGTGTCGCTTACAAAAATTTCCTTATTCTTCCTCGATATACGATTCTATGAATTTAGAACGGTATATTCACTTGTAAATACATATATGCTAAAAGTTATGGAATGCTTTTTTTACAAGATGAACATACCTCATTTTTAAATCAAACCTGGCACGAAATCAAGCATCTATGGATTCCCGTGGCCTAATATCAGTGGCTGTGTGTAACAGTGGACGAAAACATGTGATATCTCTCAAACTCCTAGAAATACTAGTTCTTTGTTGATTTTTGTAAAACAAATGTCACGCTTAAATGCATTTGAACTGACCTGTTATTGCTTTCAAAGGGCTTCAGTTTCACTGTAGCTATGGAATTTGCGGCAAACGGGATTTTGGAATTCAGTGTTACACTAATCCTCACTGCTTACAGAAAGGGGAATTTGAAAATTGTTTGTTTCAAATATATTCGATCGCCCAGGTATCAAACAGATGGCCGAAATATAATGTAATACTATATTTGAGAATCGCTTCCTAATTTCCTTATTAGGCAACGCCTATTCTCCTCTTAACACTCACTGATAATCCTCTATGCTGTACATTATTAGCGCAAAAAACTGACGATCAGACTGTTTTGATGTTTTTCCTAACATCACATTTTCATTTGCAATTTAAATTTGATATTATTCACCAAATGGTTTTCAACTCATAAAGAATGTGCTACATTTCTCGTTATTTTCCAACACAAACTTCTTAACTTACATCTGTGTTGCATCTAGGAGGTACTACTACGAAGAACGGTCTGTGAGTCTGTAACAGCTTAGGTTGGTTGGTTAAGAGTTCCCTGACTTAGTTGCTGCACTATATATATATTACTATTTATGGCTTTGCACTATCATGTGTACCGATAACCTTATCATGACTGGACGAACTGTTTAACTAAACTGGCTACATATTCCTGTATACCAACCCTAAAGCCTAATCTGTTTTGACCTGATAATCTAGAAGCGAGATTTTGCCGTGAAGATTTTGGAAAGTCTGGTGTGATTCGTAGGTGAACTTAAGTTCTCTCTGTGTACGATCAGTGCAACTCATAGCATAATAGACCAGCCAATTTTAGAACCTTTTATAACCTTAACAGTTACTTAAAATGATTATACCTCAGAAAGGTCTGTCTAGTTAAGAATGAATAAATTAACTGTCCCGTGAAATCAAAGTGGAATACAGCTAGCTACAGGAATGATGTCAGGAATGAAAGTTTGTAGTAACCGTGGAATAACACCAAATCTTCACTACAAATGACTTATCAATCTGAACTATTTCTACATTAGATGGTGGAACACTGGACGTTGAATGGTTGATGGAAGATAACTATATTCAACTCAAGAACATTACTACGGCTGCATAGATTGACCACATCCAGTGAGAAATAGTAGGATAAGTTAATGCACTGATATAAATCTTGAACCTTAATCCTTTAAGTTCATTGACCTAAAAGCATCTTACAAAGGTCCTCACCAGAAACAATTTTTCTATAAACTGCCACAATATGTAAATGTTTGTGCTGCAATTAGAAATGGTTGGTTAGGGGAGGGAACTAGCTATTTCCTAAAGTCCGATTCAGAAGAAAGCATAAACACTTGTTATAGAGAGCTGTTTCGCACCAGAAAACTACCAGACATCTCAAGACGGTATTCGTAATCTTTGTAACCCTACACCATTTTTTTTATTTTAAAGGTGAATAGAGATCGTCTTGAAGTCCAAGAAGAACCCCTTCGTACAACACTTCATTCGGAAGACATAAAAATGAACGACATTTTTGCGTATGAAGGCTTGTAGATGTAGTCTTCAATTCACTGAACTAGTTTCTGGAGACGATAATGATTCCATCATTTACCGATTCCTCCTGAACGAGACTTCGGCTCTGAATATTCTAAGGAAGGATACTAGACATGCTATTGTTCGGATTTTCAGTCTATTACTAACTAGTACTTCTATTGTTTCACATTTCTGATGGACTAAGGTGAGAATCATATATTTAAATAACAAAGCAACTACTTCTACAATCCAGATCGATATCATTAGGACCGAGCAATTGGCTAATTATCCTCAAAAGTTTGATGACACTAATCACATTATATTCGATCTCAAATCGAAGTTGTCTGTGTCGATATCCGGTATAAATGAAAAGCAAGGACCGTGATAGTCTTGTCACAAAGCTTTATATCTAGACTTCTGCCTCCCTAGTTCACATTTTAAAACACAGAGTTTTATAACTTGTCTCCTAAAATGATGTGAATCCATGATGACAAGTGCTGTCATATGACTAAGTTTGTGACTGAACTGCCGAAAAACTGTTATGGGAACTAGAATTATAAAAGAACACGAAGTAATTTGATCACAGTGTAGAATAAATTGGATAATCCAAGTCATCTTGACAAAACTGTTACACGTCATCCACCACCGCACCTCATAAGATCAACCTTAGCTAACTGCACTTCTTTTCATTCTTGATCTATCCCGTCCAAATTACGCCTTCAAGCGACTAGACAGTTTCAAGAAAAAGATCGATAACCGTGCACATATCCATGAGTTACTATCCATTGTCTGAAACACTGGTTAACTCCATGCAGTGATAAGGATATATGCTATTTCACTGGCCAGTCTTAAATACATCATGCATTGCGATCTATCTATAATTATCATTAAATTACCCGAGCCCTAATTTAGGTATCATTATCCTCAGCTTTTTACCAAAAGCTGGTGCAACAAGCCCATTTATATTTGTTCCCTAGTTGATGGTAGGTCACTCAATATAACTGATGCAAAACTTGTGATACTCGCACTTACTGTTTACACAGTTATCCATAAACTCAGAGGTTTAAAAAGCCAAAAGTACTTAATAGCTGCCTTTGAAGCTTCGATCTTCGTACATACTATCGACGGCTAATTCA